GCTGCGGTTATAGTGCACCTTGCGAGACATTATACCTGTGCACATATATGAGTGACGATATATGTACATATATATAGTGCCAACATAACATAAAGCTTTCTCTCCAGACGTGGCACTATGTGTATAAAACATACATATGTACATCACGATTGAGAGAAATAGAGATTGTGCCAATCGCGGTACCGCTAATCCGCTCTTTGTGATTTTGACAGAATGAGCTGTGTGCGTGACGTCATCTTGGTGCAATTGTTGAATGTGAGCATACGAAAAAACCAAATAACAATTTTAATATATATGCGTTAATATTTCTGCGTGGCTTTAAACAATTATTGAGACATTAAAAAGCAAAATGAAGTGTGCAGTGGCAAAGTGTAATAGTGAAAACAAAAGGAAAGCGTGCTATATAAGTTTTTTTTTTCGTTTCCTACGGACGCAAACCTGGCGAAAAAGTGGAAGCAGTTCTGCCGGGGAGGACATGCATTAAACACCAAATCGAGCTTTGTGCTATGTGTGTGAGCTATGAGCTTCTACATTGGACTATGTTGGCCTTTCCTTGGTGAATTGTCGTAGGTGGAAATATTGGTGAATGTAGACAGTTGCTGGTTTAGTTTGCTGGCAATGGCATACATACAAAAGCAGTGTCTACAGTAAATAGATACATGAACTTCACTACCTACTCATTTTTGTTAGTACCTGATTCTTTTAGTGCTGGTATGAGGTAATGCACCAGTGGATAAGGTCGCCAGGCGCTAATTCAAGCGGCATCTTACCGCGCTGTTTCGTACCTAATACAAAACAGTGCCCAAATTATTATACATTCAAAAGTTCAGCTTAAATTATGTTTTGCTGACATAGAATATTTGCTTCCAAAAAAGCCACACTCATGCATCCTCTGGGAAACGGTACAAAAGTCATCAAATAAAACCTGTGGAGTCAACAGCTGTGGAGTTTATGGCGGTTGGCTACCGTCCACAAATATAAATATGCACTCTGTATGGCTTTTTAAAATGGCAAGTCCAAAAATTCACTTTGCTGCACACCTTCCTTTTGGTCTACATGAAATTGCAAACACTGTTAATACATCAATTTTTTCATGTGCTAAAAATCGTACTTATCTAAAGGGCTACATGTCCAAAATTATTGCTACGTGTTCCTAATTAATCAATCTATGTATATTTATTGATTCCTGCAAAATTGGGCCATGTAATATTAAAATTAACACATTTTTCTGCATTGTTTACATATTTTTATATGCGTTTTGGCATTTCTCTCTCGCAATTGCACCAAGATGACGTCACGCAAAAATTACGCTCAAAAATCCTCTCTCATTGGCACAATCTTGTATTCTATCATTCTTGTATGTACATCATATTCGGGCATAATTACGCATGCACGTTCATACATAAGGGACAAGCTCCTAGCAGAAGACAGTATTGCGCGGCGATCGTAGGTGGCACGTGGGCCATTTAATGACGGCAGCGAAATCGGTGGCAGTAGTGCGAATCAAAAAAGTGTTTAAGTGCGGAAAAAGGGGTTTAGAAACGAACCCATGGTTATAAGTTGTTTCGTTGAAAAATACGTAGAGGACGTGCCCATATACCTATACCATACCTAGAGGAAAAGTGAAGAAAACGAACAGTTAAAAAAAAAAAAAATATATATATATATATAAGTGAATACGGTTATATTAAGATTACATAGTCTAACACCCTAAATGCATATATG